ATTAATAAAAATTAATAAAAATTAATAAAAATTAATAAAAATTAATAAAAATTAATAAAAATTAATAAAAATTAATAAAAATTAATAAAAATTAATAAAAATTAATAAAAATTAAAAATTATTAAAAATTAATAAAAATTAATAAAAATTAATAAAAATTAATAAAAATTAATAAAAATTAATAAATATTAATAAAAATTAATAAAAATTAATAAAAATTAATAAAAATTAATAAAAATTAATAAAAATTAATAAAAATTAATAAAAATTAATAAAAATTAATAAAAATTAATAAAAATTAATAAAAATTAATAAAAATTAATAAAAATTAATAAAAATTAATAAAAATTAATAAAAATTATAAAAATTAATAAAAATTAATAAAAATTAATAAAAATTAATAAAAATTAATAAAAATTAATAAAAATTAATAAAAATTAATAAAAATTATTAAAAATTAATAAAAATTAATAAAAATTAATAAAAATTAATAAAAATTAATAAAAATTAATAAAAATTAATAAAAATTAATAAAAATTAATAAAAATTAATAAAAATTAATAAAAATTAATAAAAATTAATAAAAATTAATAAAAATTAATAAAAATTAATAAAAATTAATAAAAATTAATAAAAATTAATAAAAATTAATAAAAATTAATAAAAATTAATAAAAATTAATAAAAATTAATAAAAATTAATAAAAATTAATAAAAATTAATAAAAATTAATAAAAATTAATAAAAATTAATAAAAATTAATAAAAATTAATAAAAATTAATAAAAATTAATAAAAATTAATAAAAATTAATAAAAATTAATAAAAATTAATAAAAATTAATAAAAATTAATAAAAATTAATAAAAATTAATAAAAATTAATAAAAATTAATAAAAATTAATAAAAATTAATAAAAATTAATAAAAATTAATAAAAATTAATAAAAATTAATAAAAATTAATAAAAATTAATAAAAATTAATAAAAATTAATAAAAATTAATAAAAATTAATAAAAATTAATAAAAATTAATAAAAATTAATAAAAATTAATAAAAATTAATAAAAATTAATAAAAATTAATAAAAAATTAATAAAAATTAATAAAAATTAATAAAAATTAATAAAAATTAATAAAAATTAATAAAAATTAATAAAAATTAATAAAAATTAATAAAAATTAATAAAAATTAATAAAAATTAATAAAAATTAATAAAAATTAATAAAAATTAATAAAAATTAATAAAAATTAATAAAAATTAATAAAAATTAATAAAAATTAATAAAAATTAATAAAAATTAATAAAAATTAATAAAAATTAATAAAAATTAATAAAAATTAATAAAAATTAATAAAAATTAATAAAAATTAATAAAAATTAATAAAAATTAATAAAAATTAATAAAAATTAATAAAAATTAATAAAAATTAATAAAAATTAATAAAAATTAATAAAAATTAATAAAAATTAATAAAAATTAATAAAAATTAATAAAAATTAATAAAAATTAATAAAAATTAATAAAAATTAATAAAAATTAATAAAAATTAATAAAAATTATTAAAAATTAATAAATAAAATTGACAAGTATCCATTAAAAAAATTTCTCTCGAGTAACGAACTGTTATTCACTGTTAATAATTTATTGAGATTTGAGAAATTCCAGCGAAGCGGATCGGGTCAGCTAGTTTACAATAAACGTTCATGGTTTTTGTTTTGGTTATGGGGATTTTAACCATCAACATTGTTTCCTTATCCTCGATATCATTAAGTGTTGTCATATTAAAGAGTTCCTCAGAGATCTGCCTGGGGTGGATGCATGTTAATTTGGGTGTAGTGTTGTTGTTGTAATCACTACGTCCCTTATGTACCTTTCGCATAACCTTTCCAATGTCTTCATGGAAGACGATGTCAGGCTAATTGGTCGGTATATTTTTGGGACAGTGTAATTCCTCCTTCCAGGTTTGGGTATAAAGACTACCTTTGCCTCTCTCCATTTTGGGGGGGATATACCTCAGAGTCAACGTGGATCTGAATATACCGACCAGGTGCGGTGTGGTTGTTTTATATCCCTCTGAAGTAGTGCTAAAAAGATATTGCCATCTAATTTTGTCATTATCTACAATGTGTTTGGCAGTTTGCCATTCGTAAACAGATGGGTTGTATTCTTTCTCTGCCCAGTCGGCCATATCTGTGATCACCGAGTCAGGGAAGTGTGCTGACAGCAGAAGTTTGATGCTATCTTCGAGGTTTGCAGTTTTAATGCCATCCTCTTTGATAAGCGCATAAATACTGCTGTGTGGATCTCTTGAGAGAGCTTTTTGAAGCCTGGTGTCTACGGGAAATCTTCAATTTATTCGCAGTAGAGTTTCCATGCATCTCTCTGTTTTTGTCTAACGATTTTTTTGTATTATCTGAGGTGAGATTTGTAAGTTTCCCAATCCTCTTTGAGTTTTGTGGTTCTTGCCTTATTAAAAGATGTTCTAGCCATCTTTCTGAGGTGATTTAACTCAAGACACCACCATGCGGTAATCGTCTAATCATGTTGGACCAGCCTCAAGGGACAGGATTTCTTGTAGACATTGTTTATTGTATTTTGGATAGTGTTCGAGTACTTTTCCAAAGCATTGATATTGTTTAGTGTTTCGGCCTCCACCTCTTTTCCAGCCTCTTGGAAAAGATGAGAATAGGTTGCCCTGTCCGCCTTCATATGGTTTCGAGGTAACGTGGAGGTTGGTAACATCAAGTTTATTTTGAATGTTAACCAGCGGTGGTCTGACATCGAAATGTCATCAGACACTTGCCAGTTTAGAATTGATTTATAGATACCAGTTGTGGATAAAGTGATATCTATTAGTGTTTGACTGCAAGAGTTAAAAAATGTTGGTGTAGTACCTTTATTTAAAATAAAAAGATTTTTGGTAATTATATAATCATAAAGTGACTTGCCTCTAGCGTTGTTATTCTTACTGCCCCAACTGAAGTGATGAGCATTTAAATCGCAACGTATTACCAACTCAAACTTCTGGTTCAGGCAATATTCAATCAGATCTTCCAACTCTTTGCTGGGTGGTGGCGTGGTTGCGTCGGAGGGGAGATATGCAGATGCCAGGATCAATGTTTTCTTTTCTCTCTTGATGGCATATCCAATCCTATTCACAGTTACATCGGAGGTGGAAAGGTGTGCGATTGAATAGGCTTTAAATTTCCTAGGAATGTAAATGGCTGACCTAGGTTGTGGTTGCTGGGAAAGCTAAACATTGAACCATTTAGATTTTTAGAACTATAATTTTGGTTTTTATTATCCAGAGTTCCTGGATAAGTCTTATTGTATCTTGCAGCTCATCAAGGCTGCGGCATAATGTTGCTGTAGCCACCATTTTGTGCTGGAAGGTAAATTGAATAATTTTCACCCTTTTAATTGCTTCCTGATCACTCATTGAAGTTTGGGAAGCGTTTGAGGTTAGTGTTTGATCATCTTTTCCTTCGAAAGGAGAGGGGGGTGGTCTAGTAAGGCTCTTCTGAGTTGTAACTGATCGTGTCCTTTTCTTGTACTTGGTTGCGTCGTGTTACTGGCTTCTTGTGGAGGCAGAACTAGCGTCGCTACCCAAAGACTTGATTGGGCTGCTTAGGTTAGGTTTGGAGTGAGGGCGTATCTTGCCGGTGGCAGTTGCAGATGCTCTGCCTGCCTGCAGTTTAGCCTTCTTCCTCCTCTTTGCATCAGAACCAAAGATTCTCTTATCTCTCTGGTGCCTGTCGGTTTGAAATGAACTACGATGCCAAGCCTCGTATTTTGGAGGTGGATGTGGCTGTCCAGCTTTTTGTGCTGGACTTGAACTTTGCTGTCCAACCTCCTTTGCTGAAGGTGAACGTTGACGTCTAGCCTCCGTTGCTGGAGGTGAAACTTGAAGCTCAACTTTCTTTGCTGGAGGTAAACGTTGACGTCCAGCCTCCTTTGCATATTATGACTAGATATCAGTACAATAAAGCTTTCTTTTGTGTATGAAACAAAACTAACGGAATGCAATCTTGATCATTTTCGTATAATATACACCTTATTCTCAACGTTTACTTCTGTTTTTTCTAAAAAGTGTTAAAGAAAACGTATCGTAACATTTTGAAATCATGCTTTAATGAGCTTTCATTTGATACCCCACACGATGGCATCAGAAAAAATTTCTTTAACTTCTAATTTAACCCCCAAAACTAATCCCCAAGACAAAAAAATCTACTTTTTTAAATAACGCCTGTATTTGAGTCCTACGGTGCCTACTTACTAGAACTATTTCAAATTTCAACTGTGTATTTAAATAGTGTCTATGTGAATGTTCATTTTTGCTTTTTACTAAATTGGGGACGGAACACTAAAAATAGTATTAAAATAAAAAAAAAACCATTTAAAAAGAATTATTAATTTTAACGCACATTTGCGTGTTACAATAAAACTCCTATTTAAAAAGCATTGGTCTTTTGCGGTCTGTTTAAAATTATGTAAAAGCGTATTATAATGTACCTGAATAAAGTGTTTGAAAATGTCAATTTTTTAAAGATGATCCTAAATAAATAACATTTTTACAATTCGACTACTTTAATTAGCCCAATAGTTGTTTATGTATTTATATAGTTATCTACGTCTAATCTCATAATTATATATAGACTTTTATCGAATTTTACGATGAGTGATTATACCTACCCAATTATCGATATGCTTTAAATTAAATCCTAAACGGAATAAGATTAATGAAACAAAATTTAATTTACACAACAAAAACATTTCCTAAGCAACCAGAAAATGTGAACGTTATGCAAGGGTTAATAAAAATGTACTTATTATTTTAGTCTAAGATCCCGACTTAAATTAGACCTTCGACCTCCTTTTTTGTAACTAAATATACACTGTTTTCGAAAATTGCGTGTACATGCAGCTACCATAAATTTATGTGCTCAAAATAAGTTGATTTAACCAAACTTACCTAATAGGAAATATTTTTTGTTGCAGTTTTACACACCTCTACATTCGTATTGATAATACTCAATTCTTTAATATCGGCATATATATTTGGTGATATTCTCAAAATGTTCAACTACCGATGCATACTTCACATAGAACCAATTTTTGGATTAACACAAATCACTTACTTGAATAACAATACACAAATCCAGATAATAAATTTAAGAGAAGATAAACTAAAAACTGAAGAAAACACAACAGAAGAATTTACAACTACATTTCAACCAGAAAATGTTACAAAAATGACATTAAATGAAAGAGCGGTTGATACCTTAGATTCTAGTTTATCAAACTCTACAAATTTTACTCAGTTTATAGACTGGTCAAAGGCAGGAATTATTTCAGAGTCTCTTAAACACGTTTATATTATTAACGATACTTTTTGGTACAAAAACGATTCTGAGTATGGAAAAATAAATGTACATATAAGAGGAAGTGACTATGGATCAACTACATCATGTGATTTAGTATTATTCGTTCCTTTAATTTCGTTAATATCTGCTGCTGCTTTTGGGGCACTGATCATGCTCTTTGGTAGAGGCCAACAATCTCAAAGGTATGTAGATAAATATTAGATATACTTTCTTATTTAATAACGCAATTATTAAAATTTTCTACTTTCATTGTTCTGAAATTCTCTTCTATGCCTCTATTCGGTCTCTTTATGCTGTAAAGACTTTCATCGATTAGTTATTTTAAAAGTAAACAATTTAAACCAAACTGAGAAGTTATTTTAAAGGAGGAATCAGTAAAATTCGATTATTTTGAGAAGACCCAACGCTGAGTTCTCCAGGAATGTGTATTGACTCAACTGCAATACAAGTACTGTTTAATATCTATTCAAAGCAAAACTTTATATGAAATTATTGTTTTTTTAACTATATTTGAGATATTAGTGTTTAGTTCTTAATTAAATAAAGTGGACTGTATAAAAATAACGTATATATTACAAAAAATGATTAACATAGGCAAAAACAGGTCAGCCCTATACAAAATTAAATCTGTTACTGACTTAAAAATGTAAGCAGAACCCATACGGTTCGATGGCACCTGACGCTACCCGATAACATCTGGGGTTTGCGTATTCTCAGACCACCAAGTAAATTATCCATGCTACCTTCCACGATTGTTCTGTATTCAATAATTCAATAATCCACACCACTTAATACTATACAAAAAAACATCCAATATACCTAACCATAAACTACAACAGACAAACCACTAAAATACGAAAGCTTAATTATTATAGTAGAATCGCAATCGACACGGAGTAATATATCTGTCAGATCAGGAAATTTCAGGTGGGGGTGCCTAAATTATTATTTACGGGGTACATAAACTCATCAATTAAAAATATTTTTTTTTTGAATATGTATTATTGAGACTTATTTCGGTATGTAGGTACATTACAAAATATTTTTTGAGATATTTGCAATTGTTATGTGAATGGTAGAGTTATCTGTTTGCGTAAATTAACAACAAGGTATATAACAAATATTTTTCAAGAGCTATAAATATGACTATTAGGTATAAACCTACATTAAATTGTTTAAATCTTTATTCATCATTGTCTTCTTGGAAGTTTTTGATGTGAAAGGTAAAAGTTAATGACAAGTGGAGAGAAAGGTTTCAGCTTAGATTATAGAAAGTAATCTGAGGGTTCAAATCTATAAATGTGACTATAATTGTATTAAAAATGTAAATGGGATAAATTCTTAGATTATATAAATCTATAATCTAAGGGTTAATCGTTATTTTATCTTCTTCTTAGAGATTACTAATGCTAAGGAAAAACCAAAATGATAACAAGAGGGTGGGATTATAAGATGGTTACCTACCTAGGATTTGGTATGAAGATAAGATAGGCAGCTGCAGTTAGTATCTTGATCAGTTCCCAATATTACCTAACCTGTTTGATTAGCCTTTTATATTATCTATTATAGTAAGAAGTTGTGGTTATTTTCGGTTAATAGTATTAAAAAATGCAGTATGGTTCAAGTTCAACGTTTACACCTGTGAAACGTATAAAAAAGTGTGCGTTGTCAGTTAACGAGAAAATATTATTTGTAAGCAACGTTTATAATTGAATGAAAAATCCTTGTTTTCTTCTGACGATACTGTTGAAAAGACAAGTAATATGATGGATGTAAGCAAATCAAAGATATATAAAGTTATAAGTGAATTAAAAAGTGGAGTTGTTTAACCCCCAAAGAAAAATGGAGGCAAGTAAATAATGGAATTTACTGAACAAATTAAAAGCGGAATAAAAATAATTTTTAAATTTATTAAAAAAAAAAAATACCAACACTTGCCAAGGTTTTGGACGCAATCAATAGTGATCCGTATTTTCCTGAAATGGAAAAGACACAACTACGGGAAACTCTAATAGATTTGAAGTTCAAGTGTTATAAACAGAACAGAGAAGCAGCACTTATTGATTCTCAGGAAATTGTTTGTTGGAGACGGAGATGCCTCAGAACCATTTTTAAATTACATGCAGAAAGCAAAAAAATATTTTAGTTGGACGAAATCTGGGTGAATGAAGGTTACACAGTTAGCAAAATGTGACAGGACACAAATATTCAATCTTCACGACAGGCTTTTTTGGAAGGGTTATCTACAGGATTGAAGGTTACTTTTGGTAAAGGACGACGTCTAATTATAACTCATATTGGAAGTAATGACGGGTTTCCAAATCGTGGTTCTTTAATATTTCAATCTAAAAAGACCGGAGACTACCATGAAGATACGAACGCTGATATTTTTGAAGAATATTTTCAGTAGATGATAGAACATTTACCAAAGGGTTCAGTTATAGTAATGGATAACGCTAGTTACCATTCCTGTCTAATTGGATGTATGCCAAATACTTCATGGAAGAAAGATGATATCATTAAGTGGCTAACAGACAGAAACATTAACTTTCCAGAAAAATCAATAAAAATAGAACTACTAGAATTTGTGAAATTAAATAGGTAAGTCTCCAGTACGTTATGTAGTGGATGAACTTGCAAAAACACATGGTATTGATGTTCTGCCACATAAATGCCGATTCTCTTTCTAGAAGACCGTGAAGAGCAGAGTACTCTCACTGCAACAGAGCAGAATTCAAAGAAAGAGTACTACTAAGAACAACTGTAGTCAACGATGAGTGGTCTCCTGCCAAACTTAGGGAAGAACAAGAGAGACAATGGAAAGAGGAAAATCGTCGACCTATTTGACAAGAAGTATTAAAACTAGTCAAATTATATTGGGCTTAGTGGGACTCTTTTATTCTAGAAGAAGGCTTATTAAAGCGAGTACTAGAGACTGATGATGGTTCTGAAAACAGAAGACAGTTGGTCATTCCAAAGACTAGAGTAGCCGAAGTACTTCGTCAGTTACACGACAGTTCATCAGGAGGACATCTCGCTGTTTAGAAAACTCTTCAGAGAGTTCCTGAAAGGTTTTATTGGATAAACAGTTCCGATAATGTAAAGGACTGGTGTAACAAATATACCACCTGTGCTGAGTAACGGACCCCAAGACAAAAGGAAGGCCCCCATGAAGCAGTACAACGTCGGTAGCCTATTTGAGAGGATTGCTTTAGATATTGCTGGACCATTTCCCATTAGCGAGAATGGTAATAAATACATGATGGTGGTTATGGATTGTTTCACGAAAAGCAAGATATGGTGTTACAACCGGGCAACAACAAGATCTGCTCACGGTTCTTAAAGATTAATCACTGGTCCATAGCACTTTCGCCAACATCAACGGCGCTCGAGGTCTGGCATCTGTGTTTCGGAAGAAGTTTGGTCGATTGCCAGAACTTCAAGATCAGTTACCAGCCCCTGAAAAAGCATTGAAACTTCGAGATAGAGCGTTTCTTTTCTATTTGGTAACAAAGAATACCTTCCGAGATCGATCCACTCATCATGATAAAATATATGGGAAGCATTGCATAGTCTGAGGGAGCACGTACTGGAGTCCAATTTACAGAAACTAGCCTTGCCCAAGATAGAGAGCAACCAACTGAATTGGAGAATCATTAGAAACATGGTGGACGTAATGTTGCAAGATGCCCAGGTTGAAGTACTGGTCTGCAGCCATTCTCCCAGCGTTCAGATTATAGCGAAGACCGTCTCTTGTTACTTCCATGCAACTGGAAATTGTAAAAGAGGGTCCAGTTGCAGATATAACCATTCAGTTTTAGTTCCAGGAGAAACTATTTCTTAAGGAGGGAGCAATGTTGTGAGAACGCCTAAGCCAACCCTGTTTCGCTCGCCGTTGCAAGCCGCTTTGTCTGTTTCAATCCGCACTGTTTCGAGAAGCTACCAGAAAAAGCGTTACGTGGCCGTTGAGTCATATATGATGAAATAACAGAATTTTTATACGGTTGAGAATATTCTAGTACAGAGCTGGCTTTATATAAATATCGCAAGTTTGTCGAATAAAGTTAAGTTTCAATTTAAGTGTTGGACAGTAAAGACAAATTGTAATAAATAAATTAGAATTGTGAGTTATAATAGTGCATAAGTATTATATAAATTAATTAGTACGTTACAAATAAATTATAAATAAACTGTTTTTAATAAATAAACTATTTTTAAATCAAACGAACGTTACATTAACTAAAAATCTTAATCTTAACACTGACTTGGATATACGAATAAGAATAGAATATTCTAGATCGATTTTTCTAAAGATAATAATTGTTTGAAGGTGCAATTGTTTATTAAATTTATTTATCTTTTTTCTTTTAGATCATGGGTAATAGTATATCCTGTATTAATAGCATCTGCTATAATGACAATTTTAAGTATAATTGCGTTGATTTCTATGAAAAATGGCGTAGAAGACTTTTGTTCGCACTTTCAAGACTATACAGGTGAATCTAAGTAAGTAACTCTACACTAATTTGGAAATTATCTAAATGCATGGAAATTTAAAATCAATTCTGAGATGTAACACCAGCACGTCTGTAACAATGTATTTGACTACGTTTCGTTTTTTTGTAACTTTCTGTTATCATTTTAATGTGAAAATTGAAAATATCAATGGAAAATATACAGTAATTTTATTTTAATATCTTTACACGACAAACATTCAAAAGTTAAAGAGTAGGTGACGGACTTTTGATTCTCACTGTATCTATTTCATTTCTTTTTGATTCCTTTTATATTACCATCGTTATCCATTAGCCTACATTCGCTGTTACTTTGTGGTATAAATTATATGTATGTTGTTAATATTATATCACTCTGTATTGTTTTAATTTATAATGCGCTAGTTCAGTGATGATGTAATTATGGTTCCACTGACAATTAAAGTGACAGAAGATTTTTTGAGTGCGTTTTGTTCGTTTTGTTTACCTAAATTATATCGTTTTTTCACTTTTATAAATATATTCCTAAAGTAAGTAGATAACATGCATCAAATATACAATCGTTTAGTTACCAATTACATACCTTTAAACTATTTTTTATGGCCTGTAAACAATTTTTTGAAATAAAATAAAAACAGAAAAAACGTATATGTCAAATTTATTGATGTTTTTGTTAAAAGTTTGGTTAGAATTAAATGTCAGTGGAACCAAAATGACATCACACTGAACTAGCGCATTGTCAGTTACCAATTTAATTGTCAATTTGTACGCTCTGTTTTTGTGGAATAAAGCCATTTATTCTGGGTTTTCACTACAATTTATTCCACAAATAATATTAGTACAATGGACGGCATCGGAAAATATCTAAGACCAGCTCGATTCGAAATTCATCCTACCTCCCGTTCTGCCGCCGATGAGTGGATTTATTGGAGAAGCACATTTAATAGTTTTCTTGAATCTCATGGAGAAGATGAAGAAGTTTCAGCAACTGTGAAACTAAAAATATTGATAAATTGATAAACCATATTAGTTCCAGTGTTTATAAACTAATTAAAGAGTGTAAGACATTAGAGGATGCTCTAAAACGTTTGGATGATATATATGTTAAACCCAAAATTCAAATATATGTGCGACACTTACTTGCTACTCGCCGACAACAACCAAATGAGTCTATAAGCCAATATTTACGGATCTTGGAAGATTTTTCAATAGATTGCGAATTTAAAGCTGTAACTGCAGAACAAAATAAGAAAAATTATATTAGAGATGCTTTTATAGAAGGTTTGTCTTCCAATTTTATTCGACAAAGATTATTAGAAGAAATTACAATGGATTTGGATATGGCCTTTAATAAAGCATTGTCACTAGAAAATGCCCAACTCCAATCAGCTAGTTTTTCTCCTTCAAACTCATTAGTAAACGCTCTTGATTCTAATCGTGACTTAATTGATAACACTTCTCTCATAGACTCAAAAAATATTGTCGCAGCTTCCAAATTTAGTAATTTTAAATGTTTTTTTTTTGTGGGGGTCCTAAACACCAACGGCAAAAATGTCCTGCCTCAAATGTTATTTGTAGAAACTGTCAGAAACGTGGTCACTTTTCTAAAGTCTGTAGAGGAAAAGCTATTACTGGTAAAACTACTGCGTCAGCAACTACTGCAGCAGCTGATATCTTGGCTCACATAGTATCTACTGCGTCGAATGGCGGTTTAGAAAAAGCTATCATCCCAGTAAAGATAAACAACCAAGGCTAAGTGTTTAATAGATACTGGAAGCACATCTAGCTTTATCAATCTTCTGTTGGTTAAACAATGCAAAATTCCGATAATGCCTTCAGATGAAAAAGTTAACATGGCTTCTATATCATTAACTTCGCAAGTTGAAGGAAGTTGTAATTTATCTATAGAAATATTAGGTTATATCTATAAGGACATTAAGTTATTAATTATTAAGGATCTTTGTGCAGACGTCATAATTGGTCATGATATCCTCAAAAATTATCAGTCACTCGAAATATCCTTTGGAGGATCAATAAACCCCCTCAAAATATGCAGTGTAGTGCAAGCAATTGTTCCACCGGCTCACCTATTTAATAAGCTCTCTCCGGATTGTAGACCAATTGCCATAAAATGAATTAAACATTCTCCTGAAAATTTACAATTTATTAGCGATGAAGTGAACAATCTTCTTCTTGAAGGTGTAATCTAAGAGAGTAATTCTTCATGGCGTGCACAAGTCCTAGTCACTAAAAGTTCAACTCATAAGAAAAGGATAGTTATAAATTATGCTCAAACGATAAATCGTTTCACAGAATTGGATGCTTACCCCCTCCCCAATATAGAAAATTTAATATCTAAAATATCTAAGTATTCATTTTTTAGCACAATTAATTTAAAAAGTGCATACCATCAAATACCAATTTGTAAAAAAGATAGACCCTATACTGCTTTTGAAGCAGGTGGAAATCTTTATCAATTTTTACGAATTCCATTCGGGGTTACCAATGGGGTGGCAGCCTTTCAACGGGTTATTAATTCGATTATTCATAAAGAACAATCTCAAGGAACATATTCGTACTTAGATGATGTAACTATTGGTGGTGAAACTCAAAATGAACATGACATCAATCTCAGTAGATTCTTAGAGGTGGCAAAAAAATATCAGTTAACATTAAATAAAGAAAAATCAAAATTTTCCTTAACTTCGATCAACCTTTTGGGCTATAATATAGAAAACAATATAGTAAGACCAGGTCCCGATCGATTGCGTCCACTATTTGAGCTGAATTTTCCCTCTAATCAAACTTTTCTTCGGCGTGTATTAGGTATGTTTTCCCATTATGCAAAATGGATACCTAGATTTTCTACTTTAATACAGCCACTTATTCAATGTAAAATATTTCCAATTTCCTCAGAAGCTGCAAATTGTTTTAATACAATCAAGTCGAATATAGCCAAAGGTTTGTTTCCGCAATAAATGACAAACTTCCATTTGTTGTGGAAACTGATGCCTCAGAATTCGCTATAGCTGCCACACTATCGCAAGACAATAGACCGGTGGCATTATTTTCGCGCACTTTATCAGAAACAGAAAAAAGACATTCTGCTGTTGAAAAAGAGGCTTATGCCATTGTGGAAGCGCTTAGAAAATGGAGGCACTATCTCATTGGTCGGCCGTTTACCCTTATTACTGATCAGAAATCAGTAATATTTATGTTTGATGCTAAACATCCAGGAAAAATAAACAATGACAAAATTTTAAGATGGCGATTAGAACTTTCCAGCTATAGATATGACATTGTTTATCGTCCTGGCAAATTAAATAATATATGTGACACCTTATCAAGAGCTGAAAACCTGACAAACGTAGCGCTAACGTATCGCCAGGATATGGAAATCGTCTTATTGAACTACATAAATCACTATGTCATCCTGGAATTACTCGTATGACTCACTGGGTACGATCGAAAAATCTACCATACTCAACTGAAGAGATTAGAAAAATAATACTGTCCTGTCCCGTTTGCTCTAAAGTTAAACCACGCTTCTACAAAATTCAAAACAATTTAATCAAGGCTACGAAGCCTTCTGAACGACTTTCATTAGATTTTAAAGGACCTCTACCTTCCACAACTCATAATAAGTATCTTCTTACTATAATTGATGAATATTCACGATTTCCATTTACCTTTCCATGCAAGGATGTGTCTGCAGCGAGTATTATAAAACATTTATCAAGTCTTTTCTCTCTCTTTGGGTTACCAAGCTATGTACATTCAGACAGAGGCTCAGCTTTTATGTCGCAAGAATTAAGGGAATTTCTTCAATCTAAAGGAGTGGCGACTAGCCGGACGACTGCTTACAATCCACAAGGTAACGGCCAAATAGAAAGAGAAAATGGAATAATTTGGAAAACAATTCAGGTAACTACTAGATCAAAGGCCCTAAAAATTTCTCAATGGGAATTAGTCCTTCGGAAGTTTTACACTCCATTAGATCCTTGCTATGTACTGCTACTAACACAACGCCTCATGAAAGAATGTTTCTTCACAGTAGAAGATCAACAAACGGACAATCATTACCTTCGTGGCTATCTACTCCTGGAACTGTCTTCATGAGGAAACACAATCGTTCCAACAAATATGAACCATTAGTGGAAGTGGAACTTCTAAAGGCTAATCCGGATTATTCGTATGTCCGCTTAAGAGATGGAAAAGAAACGACTGTATCAAATCGACATTTGGCCCCTAAAGGAGACAAAGGACATATTATACATGACGAACCTAAAGACGTAGAAACACCACCACCACCACCTGCACCACCCCAATGCTCTTTTGAAATTGATAAAATTCCGAAAAATTGGCCGATTTGGGCAAATAATATGGCGGACCGGATGTTATTTAACATAACCTCTATTTCCATTTGTCATCACATTTGTCATTTAATTGTGTCAACAAGCTACGATGAGATGTTGTTTTTATTTATTTAGGTAGTATCGAATAGCATTACTATATTCGTGAAGACACAATATGCTTCACGTTTCCATTTTTATATTTTCTTTCATAAAAAAAATCAAATTATGGGTGAATTGTCCCGAAGGATATTGCCCGCAAAAGGAATAGAAGAAGAATAAGAAGAAAAACTAATCAAATTATAGGTTAGGTATGTCAAATTATCCCAAAATTCAGTTATGTGATCCCACCATAATTTGCCCAAATCGGTCAGCAGTGTTGCACTTCCGGTCTCCTTGGTGGAACGGATTTTTAGTAAGTTAAATATAGCCTATATCCTATCCAGTAACAGAATAAAGATCAGTGGTGTAAACGAAGAAAATACCAATGATATAAATTCATGTGACACAGACCAACTGAGACGATTGAAACAAACTAAAGAAACTCCAAAGTATTTAAACGATTACTATCGTTTTGAAAGTGGGAAGAATGTGGTATAAATTATATGTATATTGTTAATATTATATCACTCTGTATTGTTTTAATTTATAATTGTCAGTT